CCCTTTTTTTTTAGGTTGTCTTGCTTGTGCTAATAAGCTAGGCGTCATGTAAGTACATCAAAAGGGGTTACAGAAGTAGACTGACGTTAGTCCTAGTTGCAACTGTAAAAGGAGTCGTTCATCTGCACTTGTGAAAGGTTTTGCATCTGCTTATTAAAATAGTATTCTGTGGTAAGACTTAAAGAATCTGTCTGGTTCTGTACTCATGGGTTCTCAAATAATACTCTCCAGATTGCTTCTGGAACATGCTAAAGAGATGTGGGCTGACAGGTGTGGTATTTTGAGAAGGCAGCTAAACAAAGCCTTTGCATTTGATGTAGTCTTTCTTAATTGCCATGCTCAGCCTGCTGCTGGATTAATCTGTTACTGTGTAGAAAGCAAGAATTCCTTAATATTTACTATGGAAATCAGAAACATGAATTTTTCAGAGTTAAAAGATTATTTTGATTAAGACCATCTAATTGCATGGAATTCCCCTGTATTCTGATCTCCACCCCTCGTGTTCCAGCGTGGGTAGAGAATGGCATCACAAATCTCAAAACATTCCTATGCTGCTCAGCATCTTACTGTTTAGTCAGTTTTGCTTTCAAAATCTTATTGTGCAAATGCTGGTACAGATCATTTGTGTTGTAAAGCATCTGCCTTCATCTTCATTTGATTGTGTTAGTGTACTGTGAGTACTGTCAGCTGACCAGGAGCAGGTTTGGCGGCATCATGACCACATAACAAAGGGAGTTGCATTCATTTCATACTCTTCCATGTCAGATTGATGACAGAGGCCATTGCTTAAGGTGGCAAGCTGATTGAACAGTCACCAGGCTACTGACTGCCAGTGCTAAGAACTATTTCCCAAGGCAGAATATTTTTTCTTTTCACAGTTCTATATAGGGATGATACTGATGATTCACCTTCTAAAAACCGATGGGCTACAGGTGTAGCGTAGCAGCGTAATACTGTAGTCTGATCCTTGTGCATCAGCACTGGGAGCATGCAGTGCCAGGATTTCAGCGTGTGTTGGTAGGTGTTCACAACCAGCAGCTGAGATCATGGGGAGGGAGTCTCATGAGCAACACCTGCAGCAGATGTTAAGGTTCTGTAATGATACCTATCAGTAACTAAAAAAATACAGTTCCTAAAGCCTTTTATAAGAACTACTGTTTGGACTAACACAAAGCATCAGTCAGCTAATTGCTACCTCTGCATTAGTTTATTCCCCTTGTCTCCACAAGCCCATCCTTTTTACATAGCACAGCTGCAAAATGCCTTTGTAGCTACATTGTGTTGGCACACATAGTACTTCCCTTATCTGCCCTCCCTAGCAAAACGTCTTGTGTTATCAGCTGTGTGAACTACCGGTCTTAATCAAGACCAACACACACAGCATCTGGTTGAACTGTGTCATTGCTGAATTCAATCTAGTAATTGAATGACTGAAATCTCAGACTGCAGTACAAAAATCTAAAAATAAGAACTTAATCTGAAGAGCTTGCAAAACGTCATGCTGGTGAAAGTGCAGGCGCTAGCCTCGGGTAGGTAACTGGCAGGGCAGCCAGTGAGCCCAGCAAACGTACAGCACAGATGAAACTGAATTTCATCGCTGCTTCCTGTTTCAGGACAGAACCCAGTTCCAGGTGACGCTTTTCTAGCAGGGTGTGGAAGTCATGGAAATCCTTTCCATTATCCAATATCGAACACATCATTTGGTATCTAGTAGAGTTTCCTATTACTCCAAACTTTCTTCCATCTTTACCAAAGGAAAGAACAACTACTACCCACTCAGTCCAGTGTATTTTTTGTGTTTACTGTTTCCATGTTCTAAATCTCATTTCCTTTCCTAAGACTGTACCTATTTTTCTTAAAATCTTCTATAGGTAGTCTTTTTTACCCTTCCCAGTTAAAAGGCTTTCTTCCACTTTTTTTCTTCCATTTTTACATTTGGAGAATTAATATAGCATGTGAATTCTTTCATTTTTCCCCCTCATTCAAGGAGAAGGGCAAACACCACCACCAAAAATACAGGAAACAGTTCTGTTACTGCTGTGTTAACCAGTTCAAGGAATGTATTTGGCTGCTACCATAGTTAACTCATTTTTCATTTAACTCACCGCCCAGTACTCACACAGTCCAAGATACTAACCAGTAGATTGACACTGAAGAATTAAAAGTGTTTAATTATTTGACAAGTTACTGTCAGCTGCCCAGAGTTACTATTAGTAACCCTCTGCTGTTGAAGATTGAGAATAATGGAAATTATGTCCTGTTGTATTTGTACCTAAAGCATTCACTACTACTATTAGAAGCAGGCACAGGGTATTATCTGCAGCTATTCAAGAACAGAGAAGAGAACTTGGATACATTAATTCTTATTCTAGAATTCTTCCATTATAACCTTGTTAATCTTCATCACAATCCTGCATAAGTTATCATTGTGAAAATCATTTTATATATTGTGAACATCTACATGTAGCACATACTGTAGAATCTGTATCTCTAGTTGAGATGTTTGAAGTTTGAAATGTTCAAATTTCAACAAAAACTGAAATAATGCAAGATGTGAATTTTTTCTTTGGTCATTTATATCAAGACAATGATTGCCAAACTTTTTTCATGTAGAAGCCAGGGCCATAAAGCCTCATATAATTGATGAATGAAGTAGATAAATAACTGTTATTCTTCTCTTTTACTTATTTCTCTTAAAATATTTCACAGTCCTACAGCTGCACTACAATATTCAATTTAAACAGTGGTGTATTGGATTTGTACCACACAGTAAGGATAATGTAAATTATCCTCTTCTAGTCAGGTGAGTGGCAGACATGTTGCATCAAAATGACTGACATACTTGTCTGATCACTAACATGATCTCCAACAAATGGTAAACTGTTGAGGTTCATGTTCTGCTTGTGAGACAGACATCAAGATTTGCATGTACAGATGGAATGAGTGGGGAGAAAAGTGGGAGAAGGCAACAAATTCTCCTGTCCAGCTTTACCAATGTGAGGAGCGTGGAATTCTACAGCTTCAGTTTTCTATACTTGAGAGTTAAGCTTGACCGGTTTAAAACTGTTTCCCTTCAACACAATTATGCAATCTCATTGGTTTCAGTTACATACAAAACTATGAATAATTAGCACACAATAGTGCTGCAACACATGCAAAATCATTTATATTCACTATGTGCTTTAAAAATAGCTGCCTGCTTTCATACTAGGTTAGAATAAGGTAATCCTATGTGAACTAGCATACAGCTTGCTTGTTAACAGTTGAGCAAAGAGCTTAGTTACAGACTGGTATATTAAAATAAGCCTGTCTTTGCATCAAAATGTAATATGCCATCTATCTCATGTCTCCAGAGAAGTGACACGTAATGCCAGATGCTGGCCTGCTACAAGGCATGCAGCTATTGCAAACACTGGAGTGACCCTTCAGGAGAGCATTCAGTAGCTTTAAGTTACCAATAATATTTCAATCCATGTAGTGTTTCCTCATAGGCATGGTATTTTGTGTCACTTATATACAAGATTTTTGTCATGCTTATTGGGTAACTACTTCACTCATGACTTGTATTTATTTATAATTGAATTTACTTTTCCATTTGTATGCAATTCAGTTATTTCATTTTATAAATTTAGTAATGCAGAAGCAATGGCAAGTTTTACATACAAATGATACACATATGTATTTTGCTCTCAGAACTACCAACAGTAACGCTTTGTTTAACAATACATCAAGAAACTTCAGAGCTTACTGAAATAAAGGTGGGACATGAATAGACTATATGAGATAATCATGATGCAGGGAAAGCTGTAGATACAAAATTTGACTCTGAAGAGGAAGAACAGTTTAGGGAAGTACTGCTAATCAGAATATCAAAACAAACTAAATATAGTACAGAATAAAATATAAATACAATTAAGCTCCATGTATCACATTACTTGTAATAATGTTTCACAGTAGATTTTAGAAAAGAGACACCATATGGTCTCAAGTGACTGACAAGTTCACATTTCCTAATTTACATTGAAATGTGTATGTATGTATCTATATAAAGCATTTGCCAGATTTTACAGGCATATGAATTAAGTATCAATATGCAGTCAATTTTTAAAAAAAATCTTCAATTTTTTTTTAATATTGGGAGAAATACCTCAATTTCACACAGATTAGTTCTTAGAAGTAGCTGATAGGCAGCAGTAAGGTCAAAGAAGGATCTGTGAATCAAATAACTAGTTTCATATATTACACTTAATGTATTCAACTGTTCTGGTATATTTGTCTTCCCCCAACTGCATACCTTGGCTGTATCGAATAAAGTTCTACAGGAAGTAGTTTCTTGTTGCTGTTCATTCTTTTAGTTGAGTACTACTGGCATTTACTGGTATTTGGGTTTTTTTCTTGTAACATGATAAACATTTTTTTTTTCACATTTGTCCTGGTCACTGAATAGTTGGTAAGAAGAATTAAACTCAAGAACCACTTCTTACTGAACCTACCAGATTTTCTACACAACATAGTTTGGATCACCTTTCCTGTTTGTTTGTTTTTAAATTGCAATTAAAAGTAAGATGTAATGAAGTTTTGTCAGACCATCTCCTTTCAGTCTGTTTCCTTGTGCATTTCCCAGACTTGTAATTTAGTTTTGTTGCTTCTTTAAAGAACCTTAGAATAAGTTGAAAGAATTTTCAATGACAGAGCAAAAGATGCAACTTTCATCTCTTCAGTGATCATAAGTGGACTCTTTCAGTGAGTCACTTCAGTCTACAGAACCACTTTTCTTATAATCTAAAATTATGATTACGCTTTACAGTAGTTAAAACCACAGTAAGTTAGATATTCTAATTGCTGTTGCTGTCTTCATTTATTAAAAATTACTAGCACATACATCATTTTACTGAGATTAAAGTTACTTTATTACTTTCAGACAGTTCATCTTATATTACAAAAATCCTTAGAGGTCAGCTCGAACTCCAAAACCTGGTCCTTTGGGTGGTTCAGTCAGAGAAGTAAGGCCGCCAGCTGGCTCACAAGAAAAACGTCCACTCCTGAAAAATGAAAGCAGTTTTATTCATTACTGGTATTGTTATAACCTCACATACTGTTTAATCAGTGGAAAAAAGATAGTTACAAATCTGACTTAAGGCTGAAACCACTTTTTTTTTCATTCCTTCTGTTCATCTTTCAGAAGTGTGCGGTGCTACTCTTAAATCAAAAGGATTACAAATTCAGGTATGGACAAATAGTTTCGTAACTAAAATGCAAAATAGGAAGACTAGTTTATTTATTTATAGGTTGGCCAGACAAAAGTGATGCTGATCCCAGTAAAACCAAAGGCAGTATCCAAGCGTATCACTCATTTTTGTTAAAGATGCTGCCTGTGTTTGGAAACTAACTCTTTCAAGATTATTGTTCTTGTGTTAAAAAAAAGAATTATAAAAACAGGAGTAGGTCACACACCCAAGTCAAATTAATTCCTTCAGACACACAAACATACATGTAGTTGGGCTAACAAAGAACAATGGGAAATAATGGATAAGAAAAGTTCAGAAATTACTGTTTCACAAACTTGCAGTCTTTCTGGTTTTTGTCAGAAATAAAAACCCAACAATCAACAGGCATTTGTTGATTTACATGACCTAGACAAAAGAATCCAACAGGTGACATCATTCCCCAATTAGGTATTAACCCAAATGAAAACTGACACTTTCACATTTCATGCTCTTCTAGTCAGTCATCAAGAACATCAAAATTCCCTTCTCAGTTCTTTTTGGCTTTGAATATATAGAAAGGCACTGAATGCATTCCATTCTGTTCAGTAAATTAATTAATGCTTTTTAGATGTAGGTTGTGAACTTAAAGGATCAGCCTTCAAGTAGTTGGCCATTATTATGCAAATATAGCATACCTTGGGCCAGGTTTGGGAACTTTGCCAGCCTTTAGCTCATCAATTATGTCTTCAATATCTTTGGGTGTCAAATCTTCCTGTAAAAAAAAAAATCATTAGCAAAACAAAAGGAGTCAGCAGTTGTGCTATTTGCAGCACTCAAAATTCATCAGATTAGTAGCTCTCTTAGGGTGATCCTAGCATCGGTAATTTTGATCCTGTCCATTAACACACATACTAGTTTAAAGAAGTAGGAAAATTAAAAAGCTTGCTGTCATTTTAATGTTAAAGTTTTTGTTTTACATACAGTTGCAGAAATTATGTTAAAACTAAATGCTCACACAAGTCACCTATAACATGGGTTTGTGCTTTCAGCTTCCTTGGTGTATTAGTGAGCTGGATTGTCTGCCTACCCACATGCCATTGCACGTACTGCAAAATGGTGTCAGCTGTGACAAAAAAATTGTGGGTAGAGTTCATGAGAACAGTTCTTAAAAATGCATCAGAATGTGGTAACAAAATAGTTTATAAATTTTTTTTAAAGCTGGATTCAGTCAATACATTAAGTCTGTTGGTCTGATGGCATCCAAGTGAGCCATAATTCAGAAATCTAAAAGTTAAAAAAGAGCATTAAACCAGTCCATACTTTCCAACAGACTGCTTTAAAAGCACTTTTAAAAGCTTATCAGATACTTATTTAAATATTCCAGGTTTATGGGCAGACCACTATCACAAAAATGCATCACCCCACTTGTCTAAAGAAAGTAACTGAAAGGAAAAATAAACAGATACATTGTGATACAAACAAAGTATTCCTGGAAGAGGCCAAGAAACTAAAAGATGCTCTAGGTTGTAAGTTGACCCTGCCAATAGGAATTTAAACTAACCAATCAAAAACTTCAGAGTCTGAAACAAGTGAAACTACAGGTAACCCAGCAAAGAAATTTAATCTTTTAAAAAGGAATGTAATACTTACATAGTAATTGTCGTTTATTTGTACCATGGGTGCGTTCACACAAGCACCTAAACATTCCACTTCTATCAGCGTGAAGAGTTTATCAGGTGTTGTTTCCCCAACTTTTATACCTAAACCAATAAAGAATATTAATGTCAGCAATGGATAGTGAACTTAGTATGAGTCTAAGTACTCCGTAGTCTTCTCATTTACATGTATTTTGGCCTTAAAAACATTTGCATAGTTAAATCCTCTTAAATGAGTCCAAAATGTTTCTGTTAAACAAAAGATTCTAATAAACTGTGAAGTCAGTCTTCGGATACATTTTTGAAACCTCATTTACAAGTTTGCAGGTATGATTTATTGAAAAATAACCATGAAATGACATTCTAAGAAACAGAATGGCTCTACTTGGGAACACTTTTAGTAATCAATACAATAGAATAGAAAAATAGGGAAAACAGCTTTCGCATGCTGGTATGAAATGAGTTAATACACAGTGTTGAGCACTGAATTCTCAAATTAAGCAAGATCCAAGCATTAACACTGTTAGCTACAAATTCATAAACAACTGCCAAGTTTATACGCAAAGGCTTATTTCTTGAACAACTCTGTACGTGTACTTAGCTTCCATGACACATCACTGTTCTAGTGATACAGATACAGACCTTCCCCAGGGGCAGGTTAGCCAAAACAACATCTCAAGAGTCTGATCTCTACAAAGTACTCCATGGAAGGAAGAATGCTGAAAAGCAATCTTCCTCCGCAGTTTTTAGAAGGGGGGGGGGGGCCTAATAAAAGTCTAAGGCAGGCCTGTGTCTCAGCACGAGCTACACAATCATCCTTAATGCTTTGATTTCTCAAGCTAAGCATTTCAGTTAAGATTAAGCTATCTTTGCAGTAATAAACTAAGGCAAATTTCATCCAAATATGCCTTTTCCAGACAACAGAATATATGAAATGCAAGATAATAAGCAGCTGTTCTGCAGCTCTTGTTACAGTGGTTCTTAGGAAATGTTAGCACAGCTTGCAACTTCATAGAAGGGGAAGAGTTATTAGTTGCTGTCTTACACCCTCTTCTCTCCATAACCACCCATCAAGGATGAAAAAACCCAAGCCACGCAGAAAACCCACAAGTTCTCCTTACATCTCACGATGCAGCACTCTCAATTGACTTTTTCCACAGAGAATTCAGAAGTTACGATAACATCATGTTTGCCATCTAGAGGGACCCTGACAGGCTAGAAAGGTGGGCCCACGCGAACCTCATGAAGTTCAACAAGACCAAGTGCAAGGTCCTACACCATGGGTCAGGGCAATCCCAAGCACAACTACAGGCTGGGCAATGAGTGAATTGAAAGCAGCCCTGAGGAGAAGGACTTGGGGGTGTTGGTGGATGAGAAGCTCAACATAAGCCGACAATACACGCTTACAGCACAGAAAGTCAACAATGTCCTGGCTTTCAAAAGAAGCATGACCAGCAGGTCGAGGGAGGCGATTCTGCCCCTCTACTCCACTCTCCTGAGACCCCACCTGGAGCACTGCATCCAGCTCTGGAGTACCCAGCACAGGAAAGACATGGACCTGCTCGAGCGAGCCCAGAGGAGGGCCATGATCAGAGGGGTGGAGCACCTTTCCTATGAGGACAGGCTGAGGGAGTTGGGGTTGTTCAGCCTGGAGAAGAGAAGGCTCCAGGGAAACCTTATAGCAGCCTTCCAGTACCTGAAGGCGGCCTACAGGAAAGCTGGAAAAGGGCCTGGAGCAATAGGACAAGGAGTGCTGGCTTTAAACTAGAAGAGGGTAGATTTAGATTAGATATTAGAAAGAAATTCCTCACTGTGAGGGTGGTGAGGCACTGGGAAAGGTTGCCCAGAGAGGTTGTGGATGGCCCCTCCCAGGC